TTGTAAATTACTCCCAAATAAATGACGTTACTCTAGAATTACAAAAGTCTGGAAGACAAACGCCTTTATTTTGATAAAGTTTAGTTATTTAGGACACTCTGAACAGCAAAATATGATGGTAATAAACTGGGGTGCTTTATATTCTTTAGTTTCAGGCCAGTGTCAGTTCAAACTTGAAGTCTTCAAGCAGAGGAATTTGGCTTGATTGCTGTATTTGGAAATACTGTTGGAAAATAGATTTAAAATCAGTTGAAATTCCATAAAGAAATGAGCACAGCAGGTATGTTGGCCAAAGTTGTTTGAGCTGCTGTAAGAGGGAAAGTTGTACCAATAATTGTAATTTACATGATGCCATTTGGGCTCTTCAGAAGTTCAGATGTGTTGATGTGTGAACCATTTGTTCTTGACTGCTTAGGTTTGAAATTGAAACGGTATTCTTTGAAATCAATAAAAGGATTTTTAAAAGCTATGTATGTTTATGTATTTTTTTCAAGTGTTTGTTCTGAACTAATGAAAACCTAATTACAAGAAACGTATTTCAAACGTAATTACTCCATACAGTTACTGATACGAAGTGGCGATTTCTGTTACACTAGAAATTATTCTATCAAAGAAAACTACGTTCAAATTTGAAGTTACTTATTTTAGCGAAGTATTTCCCTCTGGCAACAGATGGCGTTATGTACCCACAGCTGAAAGCATCTCCGGCTCCTGTCACGTTCGCACTGAGGACAGACTAGGGTACATGTGCGAATATAAAACCTCTCCGGATTGGCTCCGGTTTAGACGCGGCCATCTTATGCACTCTGTCAACACAGCAACTTTACAAATGATGACATGATTTAATCAGCAACGCCCTGGCGCCACCGTCCTCAAAGTAGTCACAGTTGGTGAACCGGTTTTTAATTTAACATGGAAATGAGTGATTTTGGCAAATTGTCAGCGGTCCAATCACAGAGGGGGTTACTAATATGCAAATGCAGCGTTATCACAGTCACGTCAGCAGCAGCAGCAGAGCCGCTGTGCCGTGGTCGCCAGCAGGAGTACAACTAACAACACAGTAACAACTTCGCTAATACCACTCTGTCTTCATTGGCGTCTGGAGCTGCGCTTTGTGGTTCTTTCAGGTAAGAAACTGCGCTAATTTCGTTGACTTTTCTGAGACGCGTTTGGACTTGTGGGCTTCTGTTTCATACAGTCAAGTAGCTGTCAAATTTCGGACAGTGAGTCAATGAGGGTCGCCTCAGCTGTCTGATGACACACCGCCTAGCTGGCTGTGTATCTTCCCTGTAGAAGCAAGGGTGTTCAGGAGCCAAAAACTTGTTTGTTTTCTTTGAATTCGCATCGAAAGCAGCAAATATCATCGTACTTTTTCAGAGTTTGACGCCTACATGTAAATGCGCGTGTCTCCAAAGTACTCCTTGGTGGGTTCTTCTTGGTCATGGTGGTCCTGAACTGACAGCGACCAGCCGGGCTCAAAGCAGCATGGTACTTGAATGTGGACGCCGATGTAGTTAACAGTACCAATACTTCGACAGGTTATTTGAAATGAAAACGAAAGTCAGGCGAGGATAAAGTAGTTGGCTGTTATCACGGTCACAATCATTGACGACCTCTCCATCCATCTCCGGCCCCCTCCCCCCTCCCCCTCCCTATCTTCTTCTGTGAGCAGCGTCACGACACCTTTTGAATCCTTAGGTTATACGGTTCGAGTGCACGTGCGCGTCTCGACAAACAGTTTTATATCTAAAACTCAAATGTTCCACGTGCGTTCATTTTCTTTCCGCTCGCCGAGCAGTTGCGCTTAAAGTAGCGCAACACATTGCCGCCTCGTCGGCTTATCAACCACCGCGCTCGCAGAGGCTGTAGCCATTTCTGAGGGAAGATGAAGAGGATGATATTAACTCAAGAGGTGAGCTCGGTGTCTTACTTAAACATGGTCGCTTAAGGGCTTTGAAAACGCCACAGATGTATCGCCATGTCGCCAACTGAGACACTTTATCAATAACAACCTTGGAAGTTTCCTAAAAGTGGACTGAAATGCGTTCGTATACGCGCTTAGCTTTTGCTTCAACTTTCAATTAAATTGATATTGTTTCAATTTTGTTAGTTTTACACGGACATCTTCCCAGATTTCAGGGGCAGTTTATAAACACAGTTCATGTTGATATTAGGCATGAGTTGCACGTGCCTGGATGGTGCTCACAACGTCACAATTATGAAGGAAACAGCTGGAAAGCATCAGAGGGGAGAGGGGACTGGTCTATGCCTCGGAGCCAGATGGGTGGCGTTTGAAGGTTAGCAGTTGCTTGGTTTAGCTATAGGGAACCTGCATATAGATAGGGATCTACAGAAACCTAAAACTGACAAGTAATTACATGGCAGTCACATGATTTCCCAATAAACATAATGATCACTAGAGAAAGCACTGGAGAGAGTCTTGAGCTTGAAGAACAGCCTAATGTGAAAACAGGAATTGCTTCATGCCTGTGTGAACTGACTTTTGCAGGGACCTGGTGGTTAGTGGGGAGAGTGGTAATGTGCATGACAATGAGTCTTAAAAGGAAATGTAGTGATAGTACAGTAAAGTAGATTTCCTTTCTCTGTATGTTTAATTTAAGAGTTAAATATTGCTTTCGAAATGCAAAGCAGTGGCATGAGGTGATGAGAATGTTATGAATTGTTTGTTAATATATGAGATTACACATTACTCAGGTTTGATGTTAGTAACGTTATAAAGTCACTATAAAACTCGTAATGTAGCTAGTGGAACTGTTTAACTCTGAGAGTTCATGTAGACATTTCTGTTGCTATGGGCCAAGCAACCTATGCTGGTTCACCTTAAGGTGAACTTAACTTGCATACAGAGAAGTTGGCTGTTAGAATCACTTAGTCAAAAGGATTTTTTAGGTGGGCTTTTCTTATAGCCATCACAAAACTGCAGCAGCAGCTGGGTAACTGCCAGTTAAACAAGAAAAATCAGACTTATGACTTTATCTTTTTTAGGAATAATTTTTTAGTTTATCAGCTTGTGCACATTGCTCTGTTGTTGTTGTTTTGTTTTTTTGTATAATATTATCCATATTAGGCTGGTGTCTCTAATAACAAATCACACAGTCAGTAGTTGAGAGCGCCATAATTTTTTTTTATGCTGGTAGAATGTTATGTTAAACCATTTACTAGCATGGCTATTATTTTAAATATATGCTGTGATAAAGAAAAAGATGCCAGACAAAAATATGGGACAAATGTCTGTGTTCATTTGTGTGCCTGTGTGCATGTTAAGTCAGCATAATAACTGACCTCGGTAGGCTTCTGTCATCTTCCGCTGGTCTGTGGTTGCAGAACACGCACATGCGCATGCTTAAAGGGCCTCCTTTGCCTCTGTCCTTAGCTGTTGAAATTCTATCAGCTGTCTGCACCTCCCACACATTCTGCAGTAGCAGGGCAGGCAGCTTCATTGGTTGTGAAGGTAGGGGGTTGAGGCGCATTTGTGCGTATGTGTGTATTTGAAAAGGGTGGGGGTACAGGAAGAGGCACCTGCTGGTGGCTGGCGGTTGATTTGCACCAGCTGCTTTGCTGCACACATGAAAGGCAATGCTGACAGATAACTGACAGTACCAAGTTTCTCCAGAACCATGACATAGCCTTCACTTGGATAAGTGCTTTTATATGTCAGATTGATAGAGTCATGCAGTTTTACATCTCTCAAAGAATGCATCATTGATGATGAAGTGGGTGACAAAGTTCAATATGGTGGACAAAAATATACTTGATAAACTGTTGTGTCATCTTTTAACTGGAAATTATTTGTGCGTGTGTTTAAAGGTTGATTATGCTAATAAGTAACTTTTTTTTTACCAAATGAAATCTGATGTAGGCCATAGATTACCAGCTGAAACTTCTGATATAAGTATTATAATTTATATTTTTTCTCTTCTTTTTAGGGCACGAAAACTATATAGTCGGCATGCTGTAGCTCTAGAGAGAGGCATTTGGGGACCAGTTTGGATCCATTGGTGTTCCAGAGGTTCCAGTCATCCTCCAGCCTCCACCATGGACTTCTTTAATGACCCTAGCCTCTTTGGTGGAGGTTTGGAAGGGCTGGATGACGATGGCTTCGCTTCAGCACCATCACTCGTGGATGAGCTAAATCTTACTGCTGACTTTGAACCGCTCCAAGTGGAGGCTCTTGGCCCTGGGAAGCATCAAGACATGATGCCACCAGCTTCTACCCAACAAGCTATGCCTAGTTACAGCCAGTCAATGGGTCATTACATTGACATTAAGGCCAATGTGGCTCAGGCATTTTCTGGTTCTCAGGGCATAAGTGAAGGCATGATTACAGAGCAACATGGCTCATACCATAATGCTCCCATGAGTCAAGTTCCTCAATCCAATGGGCTCTTCTGTAACAGTGGCAGTCCGATGTGGGGTAACCAAGACCAGAATGGGAACATGTACCAGGCCTTACCTCAACAGCAGCTTTGTCATCAACAGCAACAACTACAAAGTCAGCAACTTCATGGCAGACATCAAACACAGCACCATCCCTGTTATCAGCAAGAGGAGCAGCAGCACAGAATGCGACAGCAGCAGCTGCAACAACAGCAAAGTCATCAGCAACAGCTATTAAACCAGCACCAACAAATTAACACACAGACTGTGTCCCTGCAGCAGCAGCATCACAATTTCCCGTTTCACCAGGGAGGCCAGTCCAGCAGCCAACAGCAAATTCACCACACTCAGCAGCAGGTTCAGCGCCAACTAACTGTGAGAGAGCAGCAGTTCCACTCAAGAGCTCTCCCAAGTAAGCATTATTTGGAAAGTCAGAATGCTTCTATGACTGCAACTTGCTTGCAAACACAGCCACAGCAAGGTAACTACCAGTTGGTCAGGGAATGTCAAGCTTTCCCTGGAACAGGACTGGAAGAATCTAACCTCTCCTTTCCCATGCACTCATCATCTA